AGCGCGGTCTTAATGAAATACTGACGCGAGAGTGTCTCAACAAAAACGATTAATGTAGAAGTATGGAAGCCCCAAACATTCCCAACGCTTTGGGGCATTCGTCCCATCCGCCGTCTCCTCAAAAGTTCTCAGCGAAAATCTGCACAAACTGTAATGTTCCCCCGAATAATTATGAATAGTAATAATACAATAAAAAATGTAAAAAAAATATTCAGGAACGTGTACGTTTTTATTCATAGGTCAGACATTGTTTACACAAAAGCTTATGATCCGTTTAAAGAAACAATATATATATATATATATATATATATATAACTGAGAAGAAAAAAACCCTTAGTGAAAAACAGCAACAACGGACGATTTAATCTTCGACGTTTCGGCCGGAGTCCGACAGTCAGAAAGTCAGGAGTCAGGAAGACTATATATATATATATATATATATATATATATATCAGGGTATCGAACCGGAACCGAACCGAACCGATAACCGGAACCGAACCGGTATTTTTTCCGGAACTGAACCCGAACCCGAACCGTTATATTGTTATCGCGATGAACCCGAACCGGAAATGAACCGGAAAAAAATAACGGTTACCGGCTCATGTCAAAACGGTTCGGCCACGCGCTGTTGACAATGAATGTGCTATCAATGCCATTTGTTTTTTAAGTGCCGTCAACTGACACACACCTCGCTTACATATTTTTCTTCTCCACTCAGTTTTAGGAATATAAACGCTGCATCCATGAATCTTGACAAACGCTGCATCCATGAATCTTGACATAGGAACCAGTATTGCACTGGTCGCGGCTTGCACGGAAAAAAAAGAATTAGAAGGCTGTGCAAAAAAAAAAAAAAAAAAAGATCGCGTCGCGGGATTTCATTTTCCTACAATCTTGCAAATCCCAAATGCTGCTGTGTGCTCGTTTCATAACACGTTTCTAGAAGGCGGCGAGTTCTTGAAGCTTGCTTCGATCGGAATGAGAAAAGAAAAGGCTGTGGAGTTTGATAATAATGCATCCGGTTTCGTATAGGCACTTAGAAGCTAACATATTTGTGAGACAGCGAACTCTTCCATTTAATATTTATCCTATTACGTCCTTCTGGCGTTGCGTTCGGTGAAGTCTTTTTCATATTCCGTATCTTGTTTGATGAAAACTTCTTTAAGGGTCTAATTTGAGTTACCGAAGGCTAGTTCAAATAAAGAAAGCTGTATTTTCTCCCCACTGTTCCTTCAATTGCTTACACGCCGAGGTGGCGGGATATAGCGAGTTCTACTTGTAAGTGGGTTTGTAAGGAGGTCGCGGATTTTACAGCTACTGCGTCGGACCCAATTAGATGAAGTCCGAATGCGTAAACGTCGGTGAGGTAACCTTTGAGTGCACATAAAGAAACCATTCCTGGTAGAAATCCCTGAGCCTTACACTACGATGTATCCCGTTTCGTACGTGCTGATTTCAGATGTTTTATTTGTAATTTATTTTGATGTTGCAATTTGTCATTTATAATTTCCGAACCGGTTCAGCGCCCCGAACCGGTTCGCGAACCGGTTCGCGGATCGAATTAATCGAACCGGAACTGAACCGGAACAAAATAAATTTACCTGAACCTGAACCGTAACCGAACCCGTATCTTTTACGGTTCGACACACTGATATATATATATATATATATTTAAAATGTGCCCCTCCCCCCCCCCCCCCCCCCCCGTAATATTTCCGACGGTAGTAATAAGGCAAGACTCAAAGCGTATGCAAAAACTAAAACTTCCCAATTTCCTTAAACAGCTCTCTTTCCCCGGGAACTTTTCGTATTGAACACAGCATTAGTCCCTCTAAATTTATTATTTCCGCAAACATCGCCGCACTGAGACCAACTTTACAAGCGCCTACAGCCATTATTAGGATCGACTGTATGAGGAGAGTCGAGCAGCATCAATAGGGAGTTTTCGAATCGGGGGCCCCCGCGCTTTGGGTCCCCTGTTTGGGGCATCACACTGCGCATGCGTAGTCACTCAGCGCTCGCACTGTGCGACGCTCCAAGCTGTTTGGGAACCCGTGGGGCCCCCTATCCGAAAACTCCCTAATGTTGATACACCAGGCGGGGTCTCGCAAAGAAGCTAAAACCGAATGTCGTGAAAACAATTAGAGCAAAGAACAAGACGAAGAAACGACTAAGACATTAAGCGCTACTATTAATAATTCGGTGTTTAATGTATAAAAAGAGATAGGCAAGAAGGAAGTGAGGAATGTTTTGATTCAAAGAAAAAAATAAAGATTGTTTAGAGAACAAAAAGCTAGGGCGCAAGCTAGCTGGTGATGGCTAAACTTTTAAGACAAAACCCTGAGACTAGGGAAAAAAAGATTTTTCCGCTCGTCTCGAGGGTGTTTTTTGATGTTGTTGTTTTTCTAACAAAAAATAATGTCGGGTTGAAGGATGTCCCGATGAACTAAGTGACACACACGTACAAAAATAAAACAAATCAAGAGAAAAAAATAACATTTTAAAAAGAAACAATGAAAGAGAAAAAAATAGAGGATGAGAAAAGGGGCAGGGTTAAGAAAAAAAATTGAGGTGCCGCATCTCTTTCTCGGACAGTGCTAGAGATGATGTGCTAATCTCCTTGATCGATGATAGTTTTTGCCTCCTAGAGCTCTCTGGCTCTCTTGCTATGAAAGCGAACGAGGACTTTAGTTCATTTAAACACAGTAAAGCAGTTACAATCGCTGACGTGTATGGCTAGGTGTCCTAATAGTGACGATTGTAGAGAAGGTAATGCTCTCGATCGTAGCCTTACATTAACGCAGCGGCCAGATTGGTCACATACACTTCTCACAAGAGCACGGGATCTCCTACACGATGTTGACGCTGCGATTGACGTATTTATGCGCACAATGAACTATGCATTAGGCATGAGAGAAAGAGAGAGATGACTTTATTTTGGGTCAAATAAAGACCCTTGATCATGACGTTCATTTAGTGAGCTGGTCTTAGGACAAGTTTGTCCAGTGCTGACAGTATCCCCTATTACAACTTCTTTTTTGTTTTTCTTCTATTGTGGGGGGGGAAGCATTCTGCTACATCAAACAATAAATAACTGGTATATCCAAATTCCTGCAGTCTTATAGCTTGGGCCTCAAAACTCTTCTTGGCTGTGTGTTCGCATGATTTTTGCAAGGCCGCGCCGAAGCAGCTTTACACAATTCCTCTTTTGATTGTCTTCGAATGAGCCAAATCAAAACAAAAAAGTTTAATTTTTCTGTGAGTGTTTTTTGTTTGTTTGTTTTTTGACCGTGGTGAATATATGTTTAGCGTTTAAACTTGTCTTTAAAAGACAGCTGGATATCTAGAAATTGGAGATTGCAGGTAGTTGGCAGTTCGTGGGTAAACTTTAGTCTTTGAGATTGTGCCACGAAAGTAGCGCGGATGTTTATTGTTGACGAGTCGTTTTGTTCAGGTCGCTCATGCAGTAGGACAAGATAGTCATCAGCGTATCTCAACACACGTGACACCAGGTTGGTGGGAATAATCAGGAGCATGTCCCGGTCGCACTGGGATAAGAAGATGTCACAAGTACAGTACAGGTGCAAAGCCTTTGGAAATTTCTTTCGTTTGGATGTAATCACCATTGTTGAACGTAACTACTGTGGAGTTCAGGAGCTCCAAGAATGAGTCCACCGATATACACACCCCTTTGGGTTTGAAATGACACAGTTCCATTCAGTCTCGATGCAGTCACTCACCGCCTCAAACATCTGTGTGTGTGTGTATGTGTGGGGGGGAGGGGGGGGGGGACAGAACAAGCTAGGAGGTGTTGGAACAAGTCCGCCACGTCACGTGAAAGACCAAACCTGACCGGCATGGCGTTTTGTTTGAGACGTATCAATGTCTCTTAAAGGGGTGTTCACACGAGGGAGAAATCCCGGGGATTTCTCCCCGGCACGCGCATCCCACGACGAAAACGTCAGGCTTTGCGATGTGCAAAAGCCTCGCGTTTTCATCTCGTGATGCGCGCACGCCGGGGAGAAATCCCCGGGATTTCTCCCTCGTGTGAATACCCCTTAATCGGGAATCACGAAAGGATCGTTCAATTTAAGGTTGTTCAGGTGGAGTAAAAGAAATGGAGACATATTTCTCACTGCATAGTTCCTTTTCTGTTACAACTACACGAAATGGGCAACTTTCCTTGTGAGTTTTTGCAGTGAAAAACATCTCCAATTAAACACCTTTCGCGGCGGTGATATTCGTTATCAAGATAGACATCTCTAGTTTCCACAAGAAAACCTCCTTCCTTGTACGAGAAAAGCAGATTTAAATTGTTTTGTCCGCATTTATCAACAATACGAGATACATTCATCTTCCTTTCGCTATGAGGGCCTGTTTTCAATAGTACGTCCACAGAAAGTGTTACGTACCTCGGTCTATCATTTTTTGCGGCTCCAGTAGCACTCTCGTGGATGTTAGATAACATTTATACTGCTTGCTGTTTAGGCCACGCGTTCGTCTTTAATCAAGTTCGAAACATTTCCAGAGATGTGACGTGGCGCTTTGTTCCATTACCCCCTGAATAAACCGTGTTGTTGCAGAATGTTCGAGCGAAGCGTCTCCATTCGGTCGCGTAAAACACAGTCACAATCCCGGGATGTCTGCTCTTTTCCTATAGAAATAAATGTGCGGACAGTTTGCCGCTAAGACGATCTGTTTGTTGAGGCTTTGTTTCACGGTGCCACAAGTCGGCGCTGGCACCTTTCCCATTCGGGACGCACAGACAGAACCCAAGGCTAAACGAGCAATAAATGAGGTTTCGAAGCAAGCATGCACACGCACCGTCCTAACAACTATAACGGGCGGGGAAAAGAAAAGAAAAATATCAATAAACGGTTTTCCCTAAAGAAAGACCAGTCGTTATGACCACGGAGAAACAATAAACAACGTCTCGCCGCCACCATAGAGCTCAACAAATATAGGAGCTGGATAAAAGCGCGCGAAACGGTGTAACTCACCGCAGCCGGTGCCTTCTCGAGTGACATAGGAACCGGAGTGAAGAGCAGAAGCGCAGCAGCCCATGACGCTGCCGGACTTGGCTCCGGAGTATATCCGCTTTCGATACGCCTATCTTTTCGAAGCCTCGGTGGTCGCACCAGTTCGAGTCACCGGGCCTCCGCATCCGCCGCACCACCACAACGAAGGCGCGTAATGCGAAAAGACGATATAGATTCCCGAATCTCGGATGAGGTCCGAAAGATGATCACCTCTTGATTTCCACAGAAAGTTAAGCCATCAACGAGATCAGGAATGTATGACTGCCCGAACGGGTCACATGTGCACCCGTCGGCTCCCGTCGAAACGGGGGGCGACAATCAATCGAGCGACGGATCAGCGTGCTGTCGCAACCCTCGGGCTCCGGAGGGGTTTTGCCGCAATGGACCCCAATAGCCTCCGGAGCGCAACCTCGCTCTGTGCGCCATATTGGTTGCTTTCGCGGGGCCCAGCGAAATGTTCTGCTGGTGCGCCTGCAAAAGTTATAAACACTCCGAAGGGCGCCCAAGGGAAAGAGGGGGCCGGAGAAAAATAAAGCGGCCCGCGGCGCAGAGAAGGGAAGGAAGTGCTCCGAGAAGAAGAAGCGGCCGATGTTCCGTCGGTCGCCTAAAAATAGGCCGAGCTCGGTACGTCTGCAGCCAGCCAGAGTCAGCCTCGCGTGGAAGCTGGAACTGAGCGCGAGCCCCCGCGCGTCGTGAGCGATGTGGAATGCCCGCCGCAGTGACGGCCGGGGGCTGTAACGTCCGGCTGTAACTCTTCGTTGACGCGGGTTGCGGAAAGAAATCAAAACGATACCATACGCAGTCTTGCGGGCCCTAGTGACCCCCCTCGGGCTCAGGCTGGAGGAACTTGTAATTGGACGCAACCGAAAGATGTGCGATGTTTGGAACTCGGCTCTCGGGGTCAAGGGCCTTTTTTCTTTCTTTTTTCTTCTCGGAGCTTGGGGGAGGGAGTTCGGTCGCTGTCAGCGCTCGGAACGAAGGGCGCGTCGGCACTGAACGGCCTGTAGGATTGCGGCCTCATCCACCCCGACGGGTCGAGAAATAGTGGGCTAACCGAGAAATCGTAAACCACCGAAGAGCGTGAATATATATATATGTTACCGCTCAAGAAACGAAGCCTTCCTGACCTATGTTTACAAGCATGAACGTAGGTTTCGTGGCCTATGTTCACGCTTGTTGCTTTGTGATTCCTTAATCGGCATCCTTATCGTCTAACGGTATAATCTCATTGGTCGTGGCGGAAGGTGATTGGGGCCCCGCGTTTTTTTAAAGCCCTGACCAACTCAAAAATATTCCGAATTGACAACAACAAAAGAAAATCCAAAATTCTCACTGACCGGCAAAAAACTCTTCTCCACCCGAGGTGTCGACTGGCGAAAAGAAAGAGTCACGCCTGCTGATGATCACTTCGCCTATGCTTTCAACCACATATCGTATACCGTCGACTGCGCGACGATACATTGACAACTGTTTCATTGGAACGTTGCAACAGCAGCCGACAGACAACAAAGTCTCTAGTTCGCGATTTGCCAGGGGAAAGGGCTATATGATTCACTCCACCACCCAAGTTAAAATACAAAACAGCAGAAAGGTAAATAATTTCACAAAATACGCTAGATACTAATTGTTAAACTATAGAACGATCGTTTGGGAAGGAGGTTCAACCATCGCGCCCCTAGTGGTTAAACTGAGAACTACACCGATGTATTATTTGTTTGTTTTGACACACCACTCAACCCACGAAGAACAACGTTGCGCCAGCGTTTGGCAGGCGCTCGTCTTCAATCTGTGAAGCCGAACGCGGACGCAGCGAACAATTGGGCAAGAGTCGTGCCCCATCATTGCCCCGCGCGCAATCGAGAAAGCTGAAGTAAAGAATCCAGTGCACGTGACTTGTGTTGGCAAACACAGAACTCGGGGGGAAACAAGCTGGACGTCGCTCCCCCCTATAGTTCGACCTCACCGCCAATAATCATTTTAATTATCTTAAAATGAATATGGACGCGTGGGTAAAACTCAGCCCACACTGTAAAAATATGCGGCGGAAGCTTCATTCAATGGTGGTCTGGATAGTGAACGGTTACGGCTTTGTGGAACAAAGTTTCCAGATGTTACATTGTGAAACAAACGAATACTTCCCACTATACCGTACTATGAAACGGCTTCAAGAGTGCAAGTCACTAGGCACTGTTTATGGTGGCTTGAGCGATGATAGAACATATCCAGAAACATGACGAACACCATGATGGAGCCCTTTTGACGCTGTTTGATTGGTTCCATATCAGCTCGCCTGCCTCTCGCGTCTCATCACAATTCGAGCTAGCGATAAGATTAAACAGCCATACCGCGCCTCGCAGCGCCCGTGCCTGCGCTTACGCCTAAAAGGGTGAAGTGCCTCGGCTGTAGAGGCAACAAATACAATTTACAAGACGACTTCTCGTGCCCGCACCGAAATTGTTTCTTTTATTTGGAACGAAACGCAACCAAACACTTAGTTTTATTAATGTAAACACCGAGATTGTGTGGAGTACAAACTGCGCAACGTCCTCGAAGAGAAAAGTACCTATTATTAACACGCCCCTCGCTAACCAGGTTGTCCTGATCCTTATCCTCGGGAAATAAAAAAAAGCGCATCAAATTCGCGGTACGCGTATTTCGCATCTAGCTGTAAAGAACCACCACGTGGGTCTTGTCAGGCCTTTTTAAAGCGTCAGAGAGCAAAGGGGCCAGTGTGGAGGCCCTCTGGGCAAGTGCGGGAAGTGCCTGATGGCCAGCGCCGCCAAGCGAGCACATCAAGCGGCTTGCCAGCCAGGAACCGTCACAGCAAAGGGGCCCGTACCGCAGCCGCGGTTCCAGTCTAGACCGCAGCAACCCATGCAGCCGGGCCATCTGCCAGGGGCCGGAGGCTCCCAAAATATCGTCGGGTTTCGCAAAAAAGCCCGCTCGCTACGGTTCTAAAGGCGACGGCCACGAAGAGCGGACCCTATGCAGTCCGTGATGGAAGCGACATTTGACCTTTCGTAGCAGCTTCTGAGGCATGCAAAATATTGGTTTGGAACCGCTGCTGACGCTTTTGGAGCAGATGCCGAAACCTCTTAGAAAATCATTTGAGAATGAAAATGCGATTGCATGTCTAAACGAGTTCATCTGTGATAATGATTGACGGTTCCTCTTTGATACTGGAGCATATTACTTATTACTTTTGCTGATAAAAGCAGATACGCAAAAGGAACACAGATACTTCTTTTTAGAAATAAGGCTCTGGTCAGCTAGGGCCATTCCATCTACAATGGGTACTAAAAAATTCTCGAAAAATAAATCATAGCCCAACCCTTCATTTGGGATAAAGCCTCTATCCCCTCCCCATTTCACACTAAGTAGTTTAATTCATCCTGTAAATATATCGGTGGTGACGCGACGCCGTAGACACATAATGACCGACGCTTTCCCCTTCCTTCAACGCCCCCATCTCTCTCTCTCTCTCCTCTAAATATAATTTCTGTAATATGCCAGCAAGAACCAGCATATGCCGCTACACGTTTGTAAACAAAAATGCCTCCCCCAAGTTTTATGAACGTATTAAACTCAAGGCGTTAAAGAAGCGATCCAACAATTTTCTACTTTAAAGAAATACAGCTTAGAATTATTCCTTGACATTTATTACCTATGAAACACACGTTGCTTTGTTTGTCCACGCAATGGCAGTCCCAGAAAAAAATCCGAGAAAAGCCAAACACCATTTGCCCTCTCAACTCGCAGCCGGAAAAAGCGGCCACGTGATCTGGAACCGATTATATGCCACCAATGTTTTTAACATAACCACTACCCGAATACATGGCGAGGCATCGATTGTCACGAGCCAAAATCGAATGCCTACGCAGTCTTCGTACCCACTGCATCAGCAGCATTTAAATATCGTCACAGCGGGGATCGCGGAGGTTGATGACGCACTTCTGGGGATCGCATTGTTGGCACTGTACCCACAGCTCCATCATCAAGTTTTCCGAAGGAAAGAATGAAAGCAAAGGTACAGTTTTATCCTTGGAATTCCACCGCGACGAAGACGCGTCTTGGTCCGTGGCGTTGCGTTGAGCATTCTTGGGTCCCACTAGTGCCAGTAAGCTGGTGTAAAGTGAGAAACGTTCACAAACAGCAAAAACAACAACATTATGAAAGCCTTGTGCTTTAGAGCTGACATTGCTCTTTAGCGGAACCAGAGTTAACTCAAAGTTGAGCTGCTCTTTCGGTCGACACAAGAACTACAGTGACTACCGTGTTTATTCAAATATAGACCCCTCTTTTTTCTCTCTTTCTCGGCTCAGCCTTTTTTTATTATTTTCTCTCTCGATTTAGAGTTTAATTTGCAATTAAGGCAAAGAAGGTCGACCTACAATGATCCTGAGCATAGTTTGCGTGCGCTCCCCCAGGTCAGCCGCTGCTCCTAGCACTCCCGTGCAAAGCGGTGAAGCTCAACGCGTGCACGCTGGCGAGAGGTGAAAGTTGACGCCAGGGACGCAAGTGTCACGGTACTCTGCAGCCAGGGCACGGAGGCATGTGGCAGACATGATAAGCAAGTGATATCATCGGGAGTACAAGACCCTGGTTCTGTCTTATAACAGCAGCCACCATCCTACTATTTTACAATGTTTTCTCGCGCCTTTTAGGTCCTAACATCGCAGGCATCGTCTGGGAATGTAGACCATGTCGGCGATCAACTGGCCTGGCCGATTGACGAGCAATCTCTATACTTCGTTTCACCGGGAGCCAACAGCACAGTTGACTCTACGAGCCAATGGGGCCAATCAAACAGCATCAAAGCGCGACACTATGGCATTCGTCATCTTCCTACACGTGTTCCTTCACCAGCTAGACCAGTCAAGTGCAGCGAATGTCCCGTGACTTACGCTTTTCGCGTGTGTTTGAGGTTGTATGCGTTCGAGCCTTCGACTGTGCTCTGACCTAAAATGAACTAAATAATATGGTGAGTAGAGACGCCGTGAAATAGGTATTTGCACCATTTCTATTTCGTTCTACTCCCAATACGAAAATATATTTATTACAGCGAAGCTGTTTCTGGCTCGGTTTCCGTGAATTTTCTGCGTGCGCCAACAAAAACTCCATTTCCCCGCTAAATTTAGCGTGAAATTTCCCCGCTAAGTTTAGCGGGGAAATCCTCCTCCTTCCCGCTAAGTTTAGCGGGAAGGAGGAGGAGTGGGAAGCGCGCCCCCCCCCCCCCCCCCCCCTTTGTCGTCGTTCCAAGTCCGCTTGCGTGCCTAGTTTCCTTTCCTTGCGCCGGGTGGCGGGGCCGTCGCGCGTGTCTAGTTTCCTCCGGCTCCTCGGGGCGGCCATAGTCCTCGACATGTGTGCGCGTACCTTTCGTCGCGATGACCACCGATCAAGACAATAAATGTGTTCGTACCTTTTTCAAAATTCTGTGTCACGTCTGTGTCGTGTGCTAAACAGCTTCTCTGGTCATCCACATCTACAAAATAGCTCATGACTTTTTTTTCTTTTTGCTTTAAGTTCATTTTGGCGCAGGTGTGCTGCAGTTCTGAGCGAAAATGAAATTTTGGCGCCAGTTGTAGGAGATTTTCGTTCATGACGCAATTTGGCGGAAGTGGCACCGCACTCCCATCACTGTGTGCTCCGCCAGAAACCGGCCCTCAAGTTCGAGC